GCGCCCAGGAGGAGCAGGGCAGGCGGCGGCGAGCGGAGCAGCTGGAGCAGGAGGAGCGGCTGGCGGCGGAGCTGGCCCGGCTGAACCGCGAGCGGCTCAAGGACGAGAGGATGCGGCAGCAAGTGAGGGAGAACAGGTACCCCCGGAAAAGGCACCCGCCTGTTCTAACTCCCGGGGAGCCGCCGCTTTTGTAAAACTCTTTGCAAAACTATTATTCCTTCATCTTTGTTTCCTGATCACGCGCATCTCTGTTCAGTTGTAGAGCACCTCACTTTAATTCCTGGTAAACTGTTGATACTGCCACTGCCAACCCCTTCGTGCCAACCCCCTTGTGGATTCCACAGAAATGAACAGCAGCCATAGACCATATTTGTTGCTTGCAGATATGTATAATTTTCATTGTAATACTGCTTCAAATCACTTGAAATCTGTAGTTCAGTTTCAAGTTGTTCAGTGGCTGTTGCCTTCTCTATGTTTGTCGACTTTATCACACCAGCTCACCTGTATGGAGATTAGATTCCTCCATAGGTTTCAGGGATGGATCTGCTTTTTTCTTCACAGGTACCTGCCTCTATCTTTTCCTATTTCAATTCTTTCTTTTTTTCTTTTTTTTTTTTTCCAGTCTTGAACTTCGAGAGTTGGAAAAAAGGCTAAAATCTGCCTATATGAATAAAGAAAGAGCTGCACAGATTGCTGAAAAAGAAGCTATCCAGTATGAGAAAATGGTAATTGGCTTCATTCCCATTTTGTTCTCAGCTACCTCTACAGTGCTGTGACTCTTTGCATGGATTGTGCTGAGGAATTCCCCTTTGGAGCTGATGGCTTTTTTATCTAAACTATCATTAGGTTTAGAATTCCATGTTTCTTACAAATCTGTTATTATGAAGGGCTGATGAGCTGCCTTGAGAAAAAGGCTCCTTTCCTGCAATGAAGGCAGCTGTAGGAGGGGACTTGCTGCTCGGGGTGAGGTGTGGGGCTGCCTTTGTGCGGCCACTGCCTTGCGGTGGGTCCTCCCCTCCAGAGCAGCTTGTTGGAGGTGCTGCTGCTGCCACAAGGAATGGTCATTTGAGTAACTCTAGAGAGGAATTCAGAGATTTGTTTGTGGAATAGCACACTGATGAGCAGGCAGCAGGTTCTGATTAAACTGACGTTTTGTACACAGTTCAGTTCTAAAGAGTTGCTGTAACGAAAACACTGCAGGCGGTGCACAGAGTTAGACCCCGTCTCGGTCGTGACGCTGCTGCGAGATAGTTTCGTGATGGATGCGCTGCCTCTAGTAGCAGCATAACGAGTAGTTCCCTTTAGGTGCTCTTAGTTTGAGGGGTTTTTACAGATCCAGGGTTTCCTTCAAGAGCTTACTGTSCTTATAGAACGGTCTACTGAGGTGTTATAGATTTCTTAAGGCAGAAAATATCCCATCCGCTTCCAGCACAGTGTAACTCCTTATCTATATTGTAGTTTTTCATTATAAGTTATACTAGTGGGAGTAAAAAGTCTTTTTTTTTTTCCATTTTAAGAAACGCGAGGCTGAAATAGCCCAAAAAATGAGGGAAGAGTATGAAAGGGTAACAAAAGAAGAAAGCTCTGCAGAGCTGAGGCGAAACCAAGAGAAGATGATTTATCAGCAGGAACTGGAGAAACAGCTTGAGGAGCAAGAGAGGAAGAAGCAGGACGCTTATGAAGAGTTTCTGAAAGAGAAACTCATGATTGATGAAATAGTAAGGAAGATCTACGAGGAAGACCAAATGTTAGTTACTTTGGATTTTTTATTATTTTTTAATTTAAAGCAAAAACTTCATACAATTCTATACGTTAAAAAATATATATTTTACAGAAAAAGACCTATTTTAACATATCATTTCATTCAGAAAAGTTTCCTAGCCAAGTGAATTTTGCTGTTTAGAGCCAGGATATTCTTGCTATTCCAGACAATCCTRTATTCCTCTTCCCTCAGTCTGTGGTTTAGGCTCTTTCAAGCAGTGTCCTCTTCAGAACTGCTGCTGGCAACTGCTGCAGCTCATGTTTCCATCATTTTCCTGCCTTCTTGTCATCTCCATTATGTTTGGATATGGATAGGAAAGGAGATTTGCACGGGTGGGGATGGAGTCTTGAGTGTAAACTCAAAAAAAAGGAAAGAAGTTAAAGTGCTTTAAATGACACACAGCTGCCAAATAAAAAAAATCTTTCTAAAGCCACTTGCCTCCCCTTCCTCCTCATCTTCCTGTTTTGATGGACCGTGTATGAAACACAGTGATAGTGACTGCCAGGGAACAGAGTCTGTCTTCCTGAGTGAAGTGTTGAACATGACATTTTTTTTTTAGGGGTTCTACATTAATTATTATTTCCACCTCAGGGGACAAGGGGCGTTTGAATCATAAGCTCTGAATATACTGTCAGTGATGACTGTGTGGCCTGTTTAACCCTGCCACGTGTTAAGCAACTTTTAAAACACTTCTACTCTTTTTTTTCCTGCACTTATATAGGGAAAAGCAGCTTAAGTTAGAAAAAATGAGAGCAACACAGGCATATATTGAAGAATTTAAAAAAGAGCAAGCTCTCTGGAGAAGGCGGAAACGGGAAGAGATGGAAGAAGAAAACAGGAAAATCGTGGAGTTTGCCAACATGCAGCGGCAACGAGAAGAGGATCGAATGGCTAAAGTCCGGGAAAATGAGGAGAAAAAACAAAGACTTCAAAGCATGGTATTGAAAGTTGAAACTTATGGAAGAAATATTGAATATTCCTATATTTCATAAGGAAATCTTTTCTTCTTCTTGTAATAGATTGCCCAGAGTCTGGAAAGAGAACAGCAGAAGCGTGAAGAACTGGAACAAGTCCGACAAGAGCTGCATCAGGAGGAACAAGCCGAGATGGAGAGGAAGAAGGAGATGGTAGGTGCTAGTGGGGAGCTGCAGTGGTATGTAGAAAAAAGGAGACAGGGTACTTCATTTCTCCTGGACTTTTCCTGTGGGATGTGTATGGATACATATCCGTACAGATATGGATATGTTGGATATGGCTATTTCAAAACTAAAGACAAGTATTAGAAACCAGGATTTTTCTACGTAACATGCATATTTCTTGTACTCGTGTATCAACTGTTAAGGTAAAATTTGAATCGGAAAAACGAAATTTGCAACAATRCAATAATTCCTGCAGAAGATGCAGGTCAATGAAACTGGTCTAGATGGGAGAAATACACAGTAGCATATACACAGTAAAATACATAATCTATAGAGTAATTACAGCTCCCTGATGCTTTTCCATCTACATCTTGCCCTTCAAGAGGCAAATAATGACCCTTTCCAAAACCTTCCCTTTAGTAATGCTAGTAGGGTTGCCCACATCTAAAGTGTCATTTTTACATTTTTGATTTTGCTTTGTTGGCTTTGGGATGGTTTTGAGGGACTTAGATCCCATTGCATCTGTAAGGTGTCTCAAAGCAAAAAGCCTAATGCTGACCAAAGTTTTAGATGCTTTAAATTTAACTAAATTTGAGTTGTTTCCACTTTCTGTTCTGGTAAAAGGAAGTTTCAAACAGCCTTTATTTTTTAAACATACATAGCAAGAAAAGCAGTTTCCAAACTACTTTGCTCGGAAGAGAAAATTCCCTCTTTTGATGAGTCTCCTCTTCAGTCCCTAACATGTATTTATGGATTTATTTCAATCAGGAAAACACATGAGGTGAAAGGGACCCCTATGGTCCCAGTTATAAATTTATTCATCTCACCAAGGCAAATGTTTGTGATTTTACAGTTCAGGTGTAACCTAAGTAGGTTTAATCAATTGTCCGTTTATTTTTTTTTCCACGTGCTGCCCTCTCCTTATCTTGCCATGAGTGACAAAGAAAATGTTACGTAGATGCAAGGACATTAGCACTGATATTTTTAGAGCACTGGTCTGGTTTCACTTCATGGCCATAAAAATAGTAATTCTCTGTTTGTTCTGTACTTAATTTTGACAGTATTGTGAGACTTGTCATTTGACCTAACTGGTTAATAATTCAGACCTCACTGTCAAATGTGGCGTGTTTGTATTTATTTATGCTAGAAGGTAATGACTACAGTAAATCTATGCCACAACATTCAGATAGACTGCCTGATAGTCAATAAACTATTATTTATGGTAAAACTTCAGGAAAAAATGATTTTCTTTTATAGGCAGAAATTGAAAAGAGAATCAGGCAACGTATAGACTTAAGGCAAACATACGAAGAGCAACTGGCTTTAAAGAAGATAGTGCAACAAGCTATGCAAGAAGAGGAGGAAGCCTTCAGACAAGAGATGCTAGCCAAATTTGCAGAGGATGATCGTATCGAGCAGATGAACGCCCAGAAACGAAGAATGAAACAGCTTGAACACAGAAGGGCTGTGGAAAAACTTATTGAAGAGCGTCACAAACAATTCCTTGCAGACAAGGTAAGAGAAGTAACGTTTTGCTGTTGCCTCCTGTTTGAGCTGTGCTATTTCAATACAACAATACTGTCCTGTCCTAAGGAACTACTAAAAAGGGTCATTAGGGAAAGGTGACAGGGCAGTTGCAGAGAACGTGCAGAGCAGGGGGCAAGGCTTTGGTTTGGTCTGCTGACAGCRAAGAGGTCTTTTTAGAGCTAACCTTGTTCTGCTCGAGTCAGTAACCCCTGTACATCCAGATACACGTGCTCTGCTCTGCAAACGTCTCCTAAAGAGGCCCGTGAGCAGCAGCACAGCTGTTAAACAGCTCAGCCACTGATCAGACAGCGCTAACAATATGTGAGAAGGGGGAAAACCCAGCCTTGATTTCAGTTGCTAAATTAAATCTCTTGAGTTAAGCATTTTGTCTCTCAGATGCTATGTGTAGAGATAGTCATGAGGTTCTATTTTGCAATTGGTGGACTTTGTTAGAGTATAAATGATACATGTAATGTGAATTGCAGTATCTAATCATCATCATCATGAGAATACATGCCTGTGCTCCCTATATCTGGGTTAGAATATTAAGGTAGAAATAATTGACTTGGAATCAGATCTTTGCTTGCTGATCTTTCAAAGCAGGTTCTAGTATGAGTGAAACATTTACCTAATAGGCTTCATGTTTTGCTTTTCAGAATCTTTTCTCGTTTGAGACTTCTTCCTAGTTACTAAATGTGGCTTGTTTAAATAGTGCTTTGTTTTTTACTTTGTTTTGCATTTTTTTTTCTCTTTTAAATTAATCTGCTGTGACTGGGAGTTAGTTAATTGCTTGTAGACACCGCAGACCAGGAGAGGAAAATTAGTCCACTGAAAAAAGATTTCTTTTCACCCTGCTGTAGATAGTGGTGGAAATGAATGCTCACAGAACAGAAACTGAACAGTAATGAGAACTTGTTCTTTGCAGGAACGTGAATTTGAAGAAAGGCAGTTAGAAGAGAGAAGACAAGAAAACATTCGTTTAATTGTTGAAGAAGAGAGACAGAAACTCCTGAAAGAGCACGCATCTAAGTTACTAGGTTACCTTCCTAGAGTAAGTCGCTTAGATTACTTTAAACGCTTGTTTTGCAGATCACTTCTGTGACGTTGCAGTAGGAATCAGCAGATATCCCTGCTGGGTCAGCCGTCCTGTGCTCACTTTTGTTCTTTTGATTTGGGAAGGAGGGAACCAAAAGGACTCTTGCTGTACGGGGCCGTGTTTCAGAAGGGACGGCTCGTGTGGAACGAGCTCCAGAGTGTCCCTGTCGCCCTGTGCACATCCCGAGGTTTGGGGGGTGGAAGGAAGCTGAGTTTTTGATGGAGGGTTTCAGGGCTGTCATTCGTCTTGACATTTTGATAGTCAGGGAGTTTGCTTTTAAAAGTAACATGAGGTGTCATGGATACAAACTACTGCATTCACTTTCATAGCAAATTTCAAAGATCCAATAATAATCCTCTGTATTATGTTTAATCTTCCCATGTGTTTCTTTATTGCAGGGAATACTCAAAGATGAAGGTGACATTAACATGCTTGGGGAGGAATTTAGGCTGGCCTATCAGAAGAGAAGTGGCAACAGGTCTTCAGCAGAGCACTGACATTTCCCCACCTCCTGCTCTGCTCCACCACTAGATGTCGTCTGGTTTCTAATGAAAATTTCCATTTGCTCTTGCGTTAGGAGTTCCTCCTTAATGTTATAAAAAGAGTCTCCATTTTAAGACCAGAGCTCTAAACTGATGAGCAGCTAGTTTTATTTAAGTGTATGTTGTGCTTTTTCCCTTCATTAATAAACTATTTGTTATGGATTTCTCCATTACTTTACATAAGACCGTGAGGTCAGTACCACAGCACTGTTAAAAAATGTTTTCTCCAGCAACTTTGCAGGAATTTAAGCTAGTATAAACTCAGATGTCTATGTCAGTATGGACTATATAATTATTTTAAAATACTGTTTTTAATTTGAAGATTCAGCATTACCCTATTAAAATACTAATGTATTAAAATGTAGATTTCTCATCTTGAAGGGCTGGTCCAAGTTGAGTTGACTGTGTCACTGCTCATCATGTCCTTTGTTTCTAGGAGGGTCTAAGTATAAACACTTTTGTTCTGAGGTCGGAATCATTGCTTATTCCCTTCTTTTACTGATAAACCTGTCACTTAGCTGTCTTCTTCCTTGTAAATTACGCCAATCCATTGAAATAGCTGTGGAATTAGAAGAGATTCATGCCTTCCCGCGCAGACTTTTACAGGTTCTGTTCATTAATGTGTTATTAATACATCCACACATGTTGTTCAGCTCACCTACACTCAGACTTTTATCTAATTCTTGATTATGATGACACCATCATAATGTCTCTAAGGAGGCACCTGTGAAAATAGAGCTGTCACTCCAGACTATCACAGGTCATATGTGATGGCTGCGAAAGGTTTCAGTCTGTTTTTGCCAGGCGGGGTGTAAGATGTTGTTGCTGAAGTTACAACATTTCTATTAAAGAGATGTTGAGGCTTAAACTGGGCTGAGGACCTGGTTAGTTGGTGCAGGGGAAGCTGTTGCAGAGAACAGATGATACCCGATACCTTCGGAACTTGTATTTTTAAAGGGATGTGACATTTTCTTCTCAAACATAACTTTCTTCCCGTTGCAATGAGAAGTTTTTTGAAATGAAACATATCTTATTTTTTAATGGTATATATTATCATACATATCACTTAATTTTTAAATGCTGAGACAGAATGAGCTAGTAACAGTTTACTTGGTGGAATATTTCCTGCATGTTTTGTATTTGTCTGCTCACTGCAGTCCAGCTAAATTTCAGCACCAGTGCCAAAGAGATTTATATTTTATGGGATATTGCCAATTTTTTTTTATTTTACAAATTAAGCAATTTCAACATAAGCAAAATCAACACCAAGAATGTAATGGGAACATGCAAGTGTAATGAGCAATGGGTACTTATCTACAGTGTCAAAATAAGATCCGGCCTGGCCTGTGTTTCAAGCAGAAGCTGCCTGTTCATTGGATCAAGAATTTCCCCAGTCCAGAGCTTTCATAAATTCCTCTTCAGTAAAAGAAAGCATCTTAGCAGCTTCAATGTGCATCTTAAAGGGAAAGAAATTAAATTAGCTAGAAGCAGAGAGCAAAAGAGCATGAATGACTAGTATAAACTCCTATGTAGCTGAAATAGCTAAAGGCTGGGGTGGTTTGTTTAAGATACCTGCTTTGCTCTGTCATTTTGCTTTTTCATATTACATTCACATTTGGCTGTTTCAAGCTGCCACAGCTACTCATAGGATTGTTGCAGGAAACTATTTTGTAACATTAAGGTAAGGCAGAGAAAAAAGGGAAAAGGTGGAAAGGGAAACACACTTTTTTGTGCTAAAAATCACAACTTCTGCTCTAGGAAACCAGGAACTGTAACTTTTCCTTAATTCCTTGCATTACCTTAAAGATATGATATTTGGAGCTCCTACCAAGGAAATACGTCACTGAGATTCCTACGTGGAATGTTAGTGCTGCTTCTTGTGCAGGCAATTGTGTTAGATCAGCACTTGGCAAAAAAATGAACAGCATCAAGGGAGCCCCAAAGCTCCCTGCAGTTGCAAGGAGGGGAGCAACTGTCCCACCTGTTTTACTCAGCCCTGTCCTTGCACAGAGAATGAGACATAATTTTCACCTGTGCTCATTTAAAGGGGCAAGGAAAATGTCCAATCTAAGTAGTTTTTATTTAGAAATATGATTTTTTAATGTTCTGAAGCACAGGAACTTGTGCTTCAAAAGGATCTGTTTTAACATGTATATTGTCATTACATGTCCCATATGTAAAACAGTAACACTCCAGCTCTGCCCAGCTCACAGTGACTTCCCTCGATCCCTTCTTAAAACTAATATTTTCTATGAAACTCTCACTTTCAAGACAAGCAGAGAATGGGCTGAGATAGACCAATTTGAGCAGCAGCACCTGCCAGCTACGGGAGATCCTCCTCCTGCTGCACTGTAGCAGCGCTTGGAGGGGCTTCTCTGTCGCTCCCCACGTGGTAGCTTATCCTCCCTTCAGCCTTCCTCTATCTACTACACACAGCTGAATCTGGCACACAGGTATCATACAAAGGGTCCAAACTASGTATTTGCTGATGGATTTTGTCAAAGTCACTGCCAAAAGAAAGTGAAGCTCTTCAGGTGATTCATGTGTATCTTAGTCACACATGAGCTTTGCCTGCCCTCCCTTCTAGCAGAAGTTATAAAAGGCCAAGTCAGCACCATTCGCTCTTGGTTTCTTCCGACCACAATCTGTTTACAAGAATAAAAATTAACAGCAACTGTTTTCTGTAAGTAGTTAATGTTTTTAAGAACAAAGGGTAAATAATTTACTGTATCTCTCTTCAGGTCTGGTGCAGTGTTTCTTTGTTAAATATATTTAGTCAAGTTTTGTCATATTGCCTGAGGTTACGCTTCTGATTTACAGCAGAAGAGAACTACGCTCCTTTGACTCCCCTTTCAGAGAATTAAGGGACCCTGAATGACAAGCCAGGTTGCAGACAGGGTGGATACCAGCGACTACTGCATCTTTTCACTCTTAAACTTGAATGCCCCAAAGTGGATGCAAGGGAAAGTCTGAAGGGACGGGGCTCCCTGCAGCGTGATCACCGCTGCTGGCAGGAAGCCCCGGGTGTCTGCAGGCCAGAGCGCAGCCGAGGCCCCGCTTGAGAGCAGAGCTGAAATTCTCATTATTGCTCTCAGACACCATGACAAGCCTCAACCAGGACAGTCAATGTGCTGCACTGTGACTAATAAATCATACACATCTGCAGACATAATCCAGTATTATTTAAGAGGTACAAACTGTTATAGATTTACTGTCCAAGATACTGAAGTTTTTGATTCAATCAAATAACACAGAGCAGACTGAAAACTGCAATCTTTGTTTTTTTTTTTTTTTTTTCCCTCCTAGGACTAATGGTAGCCCAGAAGTCTCTGCAGCCATTTTTTATAAGCAGTAAATGGCAGAAACTTACAGGAAAACAGGTATCCTGAAAAAGGAGAGTGAAAATTCTTTTCAAACAGGTGACCGGTGAAGGACCCGCATCGGTCCATCAACCGTCCCAGGCTCAGCTCAAGAAGCTCCAGCCTTTGCTATGAAGGACAATACTGGCAACAGGCACTAACAAAAGGGAGGCTGTGGGGCTGCTGCTCTTGCCTTGAAACCTCCTGGCCTCAGGCTCTAGTTACACGGTGTGTTACATGGCAGCTGACACTTGAAGTTGCTAAGCGAAGTAAAACAGTATTTGCTTTCTTACCTTTTGTCTCTTTAAAACATCAATTAACTTTAACTGCTTCTTAAAGCCTGCCATTAGCTCTCCTTTTTGCTTCTGCAGCTTCTTGTTTTCTGTTTTTAATTCTTCAATTGTTTTGAGTTCTTCGTTAGCTGCGTCCTACCACAGGGGAAAAAGAAGAAACGTGTTATTCCTGGAAGTGGTGTTTTAAGCAATTAAACTTGGAATACCATAACAAAATGACTAACAGTAGCCACACCTGACATTCCAGAAAAGAAACAGAATGCATCAGAACATTCCATCACCAAAGCCTAGAAGGAAAACTCCAAGACAACTATACTCACTGGCTCTACAGGGGAAACACAAGCAGCATTAATATCCTTGTTTGCCAGTGTATCTATGAGGGATGTATATGCACTGCTCCCTATTTCTAAACACATCTAACATTCAAGCAAAAGGGAAAAACACAGATAGACTTTATCACTTTTTTCTATTTCTTTCCACCTCCAGCATAGGTTCTAGTAGTAACATTGGGGATATTGAATCAGGCTGTTTCGTGACTGATTACAAGTAACTTTGGAATTGTCTGTGACAGATGCAAAACTTATAAAGTTGGTCAGATTTTCTGCCTTATTCTAGCATTTTTGAGTGACTACAAATTTAACTGTGTTTGTTTTTCTAAGCCACTGTACCTTGTGACTTTGCTTCAGTTTATTCAGCTCTACTTTATACCTTTCTGCTTCTTCCACAGCCCTATTTAAGCGAACTTCCGTGGCACTCTGACTGGTTGCAGCCTGCTTTTGTGCACGCTTCAGGTTCTCTAATTCCTATGCAAGAAGTCAAAGACAAAAACAAACATTGTGAATAATGATATTTAATGGATCCCATATAGGCCATACATTTAAATCAAGGCTCATTCTTGAAATCCTGCTGAGAATTTTTTCGCTGAACGTTTTAAAACTGAAGGTTTTAACAACAGCTTGAACAAACTTACGTCCAAGGTGCTTCAGGTACAATGCATCCCGTTGCAGTTTAAGGCAAAGGACTAAATGACTTTGTAAGGTCTCTTAGCCCTATTTTTTATTAGCTGAAGAGCAGAATAACAACGCAGTCATTTTTCCTGATAGAATCAACAGATAAGATACCTACTTAAGGGATATGAAACCTCAAAGTAACCACAAAGAAAAAAGAACAGTCACACTGGTACTTYCTAGTTTTGAAATTTCAGTATTATTTACCAGTAAGATGGAAGCTTGTACTGCTGCACTGCAATATTTAATGGAGGTATAAATAACACTTYGTTAGCCTCCAGCTTGGGTTCAGTTTTCTACAAATTTTTAGATGATGTATTAACCTGCTTATATTACATGTTTGATTTTGAATTCAATCTTTCTAGCTCTGAGTAACTAAGAAGAAACAGACTGCTCCTAGATGAGTATTTCTGCCATCTGCTGTAACTAGGCACATATACAATTTTGCCTATGTGACTTACAGTAAGAGCCAGATTCATTTTGATTTATCCAAATTGCAGTAACTAATTTTGAAACAGTCTGTTTTCAATAACAATGAGGCATCTTTCCTCCACCTACAGAAAAATGCAGGTGTGTTTTTTTCCCCCAATATTCAGCATGTCCTACAGTTATAATGAAAGTATTATTTATAGAAGTAATTTGTAGTAATTATAATCAAAACCACAGAAATTTCCATTGCATTTTCCAAAATTCCACCTTTGTTCAGTTTGATTGCAATTTATGAATAGGCTGCTCTGCCTCTTGTGGATCTTTTACAGAAGAATTTAATTAAAATACGGAAAAATATGGTTGCAGAACCATGAGAAAAAGCAATTAACAGAATATTTTTTTCCTTTTAAAAATATGATTTTTGAAACTATTAGCAGAGAGAGAGATTTTCATGTAAAAGCAATTGGCACGAATCTGTAGATCTCAGGTAAAGAAGGTGATTTGATGCTTTTATTCCTTTTGTGAGCTAACTGAGAGCAGTGTGTGCAATACCTTTTCGAGTGCTATGACCTCCTGTTGCAATCCTTCACTTTTTTTGTTTGCTTCTTGTGCCAACGTTCGGTACTTTTCTGTCTGAGACTGCTGCACCCTGATTGCTCGTTGCAGCCTAGTGTTCTCTTCCACAGTATCTTTAAGATGCGATTTTAAATTCTCATTTTCATCTTCCTGTTGAACAGTAATTGGGAAATTAAAAAAAAATCTTYTGAACATTGCAAGGAAGCAGTAGGATAATGTGATCCTCATGTTTTTAAATAAAAGGTAATACAAACATATGTATATAGGTATGATGATAGACAGCATTACTTTTTAAATTGTTTCAAAGTGAAAAGACATTTCATGACAGATTTCATAATACTTAGAGAAATGAAACAATTAAGATAATAAAAAATGCTTGAAGACACAATTTACTAAGGCAGTACTAAAAGAGAAATATTTTTCCTTCTTATTTTCTACAGTCTTTTACCTATGACTGCCTTGTAGTATGTAAAACAAATGTCATCTCCTATAATTCAAGGCCTACTAATACTATCAAAATACTATAGAATAATATGAATAACAATAGCACGTACATATGTACACACTAGGAAAAAATGTGAAAAAAAAGAGAACATAATTGCTGCTAAACCAATCCATTATGCTTGAGAAGATTATGTGGTTTCTGCTTAAAAGCCAACTAATGTTCCAGGGACATCAAATAGTCTAATACAGGTTTCACTTAACATCAACTGAATCCTGTATTAGCTTCATGACCTACTGACAATTACATCTCACTTGAAGTATTACAATGCAAAAGCATTTTTCTTTTAAAAACTTTTAAATATTGTAAGTGAATATTAATGTTGGAAAGTTCACAGATGTACTAAACCCCTCACAGCCCGTGCCAAAAGAGAACTTCTATGAGAACAAGGCTTTCTCTCCTGCCCTCTAATCCCCTAGGACACATGTGCTTTACCACAAACAGCAGGTGACCGAACGTACCTCTGGAACCTCTACTTATTTACAGCTGATTTATTGCTTCCTTATAAAAATTGTACTGTGAATTGAAACAAGCAAATAAAAAATCTGTCTCAAGGCACCAGAAATACGAAATCTGTGTGATCTTAAGAACACCAGTTTTTTCTGCAACACACAAAACAGTAACCACAATGATATATTTACAGGTTCTGTGCTATGAAAGAAAGAGGATGGATACAGAGTTTTCTTCTGTCACCTCCCTGGACTCTGTAGTATTTTGACAAGGCATGATGAAATTCAGCAACTATTGACAAAATGGTATTTGATTTGAAATCTAATGTAACACTTTTCTTTCAACCACAGCAAAATTAAAGTATCAAAATGTAGAGACAGCTGTACATTTTAGTAAAAATGCAACAATAAATTATCAAGGACAGATAATAAAAATATGAAAATTCAGATTCCTTTTAAGGATTTTCTTTAGGTATCCATGCACAGAAAGCTAGATAACATGCTCCTGCTCCTTAACCTTAAATCGAAAGCTTGGGAGAAAACATGTTTCTTGTCATGTGTTCTGAGTGTCAGCATCAGATTTGGGCCTGGAGACTGAACATATACAAAACAAACATTTTGAAATCAAGAGACCACAGCTGAGAATAATCCACTTGTGAAAAAGGAGGAGTTAGTTCCAAAGCCTTGCTTGATTATACATACATGAAAGAGAGGTGATCCCTCAGGCAGAGGGAGCCAAACCCCTGTAGGTTTTAGAGCTCAGCAGATGCCTAACTGCCACCTAAAACACCCTGCCAGACAMGGCACACCATAAACCTCACTTGCAGCACGCTCTGTTACACTAGTAAGGCAGGAGTTGGCTTTATCCTTCCTTAACTTCACATGATGATCTCTCCAAACATATAAACCCAGACTAGGTCCTTGCAATAAGGGTAATCTCGAAAATGGAGAAAGCCTGGTTCCTGTTTGGATATAACAGTCCACTTAAATTGGACTGCAGAGCAGCAGTTCCCAACATTTTTTTCTGCCCGGGACACTCCTAGTATCTAAGTTTCCCAAATGTCTTTGCTCCTCATTGTGCCTTAGCTTTCCCCTTTCCTGCCTCCAATTAATTTTCCCAAATTTTACCTGAAAAGCTTTTAGTCCATTGTTTTTTAAAGAGCACCTTAGCTCTTGAATATCTGAAGATGAAGCAACAAAAAAAAAAAAAAAAAAATCCTAGTAGGAAAACTGAAGGTGATTTACTAGATTTACTCAGCTTCTGCTGAGAAAACACTCAACTCTTACCTTCTTCCTGCATTCACATACTACATTATCCAGCTCTTCCTGCATAACACGTAACTTTGCTTTAAGAAATCTGATTTGAGCTTCTGTGAACATAAAAAGTTACATTTGATACCCCAATTTAAGTATTCTCTGAAATATGTAATTCAGAAGAGATACTACTAAGCAGGACCAAACTAAGAACTCATTTTTATCTTCCCATTTTTAAAAATTTATTACACTRCTTGTTTACAATTATTAAACACAAATAGGCAAACTAAACATTAACTTAATAAAAGCATGTAATTTTTTCATTCTTAGGCAAAACTTTGGATAGATTTCTCTCTTCTTGTGAACTCTGAATCCTTCTTTCTTGCTTGGCATCCACAGCATCCCCCAACAAAGATTTTTCTAATTTAATTATGCATTATATGAAACAGAGCAGTCTGTATAGCTTGTTTTAAATCCATTTTAATATGGTATGTGCTAGAAGACTACTAGAAGACAAGTTTTTCCTTTACCATTAGTGATTTCATTACAGAATCTTTCATATTTCTCTCAAGAAGTATTTTTTCTCCAATCAGCCTAACTTTGCATTTTTAATGGCGAATATAATTCTCCWTTTTATTGTTCCATGCGATTCTTTTTCTATGTTGGCAAGCTTAAAACTTCAACAACAGTTTTATCTATCTTAAAATCAGTTTTACCTATAAATTCCTTTAATYCCTATCTTTCCCTTTTTTCAGACTATTCTACTGTATATTGAACAGCATAAGGTTCATAACAGATTGCTCTGGGACCAGGATCGTAACATGAGAAGTGGTTGTTTCTCTACACTATCCTGTCTCTTTTTCACTCAGGTGCCCAGACAACTTTCCCTTATAATTTGGTCTGCTTTGTTTCAATAAGTTCACTTTCTAGTAAATCCTTTTGAAAATTAAAAGCAAAACAAAGAACAACAAAAAAAGAAAAAACAGGCCATCCTTAAGAGGTGGCTATTATCCAAAATTAGCTTGGATTCTCATAGCAGATCAAGATAATTAAATAATTAAATTCCTAATTGGTCAATTTTAATCACCAGGTGAGGCTGATAAGCAGGGAGTGTCACTTAATGGGATGGTCTCTCAATTATAAAGTAATCAGCAGTTTAGGATAGGGAAGCAGGGAGAGAGAGGTTTCTTTTGCCTGCAGGAGTGAATGATGGTTTTTGAGCTCCTGAGATAATGTGAAGCAAGACAATATATTCAGGTATTTTGTTTTATATTTTTATATATGCATATGCTTGTGTCTGTTAGATAAAAGTAAAGATGAGTCTTCAAAAAAGTTATGTTTCTATGTGCTTTTGCCTTTGCTTGTTATAGTAGTATTGAAATATTTTCTGCAAAAATAGATGTTGAGAAAAGTTATGTGCAAGTTGCTGGGATGGTAGGAGAATAGCTGCACTGTRAAGGAGARGTGAGGAAACCAAGTCTAGGAAGATCCCTGCAGAAAGGGAGGGAAATGGCTATRCTATGGAAGTTTGTGAGATGAGGCCTAATACAGGCATGGATGCCYCTCATCTCCTGCTAGGGAATTAGTTTCACTGTAATGTGACTTAGTATTTAAATGCATTTTGGTGTGAGGCCTGTTAGTGCTCTCTGTTAGCTGCTCTGCAGTAAATTAACACATTAAAGACAGCTCTGATCTGGGAGGCATTCACAGTGCTATGAATTCAAAAAGGAAAGTCAGTCCAGAGTGGTTTTTTTTTCACTTTAGCTTATAATTAGAGGAACAATCCTCAGTGCTCTCAAATGCTCTTGACACACAAGATTTTATTCTTACTAAATACCAAAAGCAACCTCTGAGTTACCTTGGATTTACATAGTAYACTTTTCAAAGCAATTTAGTTTGGGAATGAGAACTATATGTGTTCTGAGAGACTCATCAAAGGAAAACTTGCAGAGAACTACTTGAGGTTAAAAATCAAATTATTTGTATATTGACTTGCTTGGTGATACTAAACTGTTAGACAACATAAAGAAATAAATTACACTATGGGAAGACAAGAGGTTTTAAGGGATGAGAAGATCTGTGATTTTTTTGGAGAACTCCCCTTTCCCCCTCACCCTGCATCAAATAACTCGCTTCTCACAGGAAGCAAAAAAAGCTGCTTACCCCATAGCAGAAGACCTACCYGCTCCAATTTCATTTCCAGCACTTGGAATAATATCATCATCATCATCCACACAGTCTGGCAAGTCCCCTTTCTCTAGCTTTTCTTCAATTTTACTTATTGTTTTTGCTAGAGAATATTCTGTGCAATCCTCTAGTACTGCAACATCATCGGTGTTTTGTATTTCTGTATTTCTTGCTTTTGAACTAGAGGGAAAAAATATATATACTTAATCTACAATTCAGAAATTGTTACATTTGCTATATTTAAGTGTTTCCAAACTCACTTAACTAACACAACTTTATCCTTCATATGCACATGAGTAATGCATCAATTAATCATATGTATTCATTAGTGATTCTAGGTGCTCTAAGCAGGTAAACTGAGATAACTACAGGCTGGAGTTGACTGGGGTGGGGACATGCAGTTTGATGCATTTACTCTGGGTGTGTGGATACAAGAACCTATGTAATGCAAGACAAATATTTTGATAGACAGAAAAAGCAATATTTCATTGCAAAAGAAAAAAGTGTACAACTCATTACCTTGAAGGTGGCCTCCTTCCTTGACTGCCAGAGCATGGTCTGTTCTGAGCCAGGGCATTACGCTTCTTGTTTGGTGGCTACAAAATTTTTCGGAAAGCAGTGGGCTTTATTAGTTAGGAATGATCTTTGTCAGCACATTTTCAATTTTCCTATGTTCAGACTCTAGGATACTTTTAAAAGTATGACTGTGAAAGTCTCAGAACTTCAGGAAAGCAAAACTCTCTCCCAGCTTGACTTGTGCAAGTCTTTATCTTGCAAACTGTGTCCACATATCCAAACTAGAATCTATCCAATTGTCACTTACTAGTGGTAGTCTTTTGTATGCATATGTATGATAAATTCATGTATAAGCAAGGTTCTTAGTAATAACTAAGATATTAACTATCAGAAAACTGACTCTTTTTGAACCGTATTTATTCCTTGTGAGATCTAGTTGTGTGCTCATAGATGTCTCCCAAATAAGTCACTTTAGGAAATCGGCTTTCTCTATTGTACTGTAACAAGCAACTGAAGACAAGACTTGGAAGCTTTAGCTCGCCTCATAACAGATTCAATCTAATTGTGATTAGATTAATGCATTTCATACCTTGATTCCTAACTTTTTTTCCATGGTATTTTCCTTCTTGTATTGTTATTCTGACTATTCTTTAATTATTATATTTAAAATGAAATAGTAGCGTCTTTAGCATTATACCAGGGAGAGGGAACTGAAATATGTTCTACTGCTTTGTACTTASTGCTCTGAACTTGAGAACCTCAAAATACCGAGCACTTCTGAGGAGTAACAGATATGGCCTTACCGGAGAAAAATATAAAATACAGAAAGTAACTGGTGGAAACCACCGAGCTAACAGGGCTACTGTCTGTCTACCCTCCTTCCCCCCCCTTCCCCCCCTCCCCCTTTTTTTTTAAGGAAAAGAAAAGGGGGGGGGGAAGACCTAGGGTACCTTGCCTCATCTGTCTCTCATCCACTCTGCTTTGAACATCACTTGCTTTAATTCACTTCCTTTCCCAATAAGTCATCTATGATGTAGCAGAGCTTTGAAACCAAAAGTAGTATTTGGAAATTGCACTGAAACAGGATGCAGGATGGTTTTGAGTTTGATACCTTGACATGTGAGTGTGTAAAAGAGGTGGCTTCAGGGTAGAATGAATCTCTGCAAAATAAATACAAAATAAAAAATAAGCAAAATCCACAGAACTTGAGCAGTTAGCTTTTTACAGTCAACATTTAATAAAAAAAAAAAAGTCAAAAAGGAGATTATTTCATATATCTAGAGTAAGCAAAATAGCTAAAGTGAGAATACCTGAAGCCTAGTCCCTAACACTTCAGGTGATTGCTGCAACTACCAAGCTCTCAAATCCATGATTTGGGGAGTACTTACACAGTATGCAGAGTGTAACAGCTTCAGGAGACAAACATTATCAAAGCTCAGTGTTCCACACACTTACTGACCTATCCTTTTTAAAAAGGGTGCATGCAAATTCCTGAATTAATACCCAAGGAAGGAAGATACAAGCCCTTTTGTTTTTGCATAGTGAGAGGAAATGGTATATTGTGCTTATATTGACTGTTGCCAAGTGAATTGACAGGAACTGTCAAGTGAGTTAGCAGGTAGAAACACTTTAAAAATTAGGCCTGATAATTTTCTGATATATATATATATATATAACAAATGGTGTATCACTTTCTACAGATAGAAAAAAACAGGAGTGAAAAAAGCAGATAAGCAAGCTGCTATTTCCCTGAGTATCTTTTAGTTTCTAAACTTCATGTTAAATTTAAGTTGGAAACAAGTGGAATTCTAGTATCCAATGTGTTTTTCATTACAAGTTTCCTGACATTGACTTTTTTATTTGTTTCCAAAGCTTGTCTTATGTGGATCTATATTAATGCACTGCAAGGTTGGTCTTGTGCTACCTTATATATTTTCTACTATTCAATTAACATGGAGGCTTATAGCAATTCTGTAATAAAATTTAAGCATTTTATTTTTTTGCTTCAGTTGATTTAGACAAAGGTTTAGATTTTGCCTTAAAGTATGAACTTCCATTCATCAACCAGAATTATCTGCAAAAAGCTCCAGATTTTCCTAATCCAAAAAAGGAGGGGGAGGGGGAGTAACAGGGGGGGGGAAAAAAAAAACAGAAAAATCATCTTCGTGTGGATGGCAACAGACTTCAAGAATAGGATGATTAGTTTTTGTCTATTTACCCTATTTTCCTCATGCTTCCCTCCTATTGGCTAGCTTTAGAAGCATGCAGACAGCTTGGATTTGTTGCCACAGAAATACCAGTACGTATCCTGAAAGACAGGARAACACAACAACCTTATGCTCAAAAAGGCAGCTTTCTTTCCATTGACAGATTTATTTTTTAGCATGTCTGTTGGCTCAAGAATTCCTTTAAAAAAACAAACCCTCACTGTTTTAATAAATTTAGGGAATTCGTTTCATCTTATTGATGTTATTGGTTGGTTTCTTCTTCCCCACACACAACGATTCAGTTATATGACTCATCTTTTGAGGATTTTAAGATGGGCTGTATCAAGTCTTCCTGGCGAGTGGCATTGAAGTGTAAAGCCTGAGAGGACACAGGCAGGAGTGGGCCGCGGAGCGGGGCCGCAGGGACGGGGCGGAGGTTCGGGAACCTGCAACGGGGCTAAGTGGCAGCACGGAAACAAAAGCCCWTTGGGATGGAGGGTCCCCAGAGCTGCTTTGTCTGCTCTGTGCAACTGAAGCTTCTGTGTGGAAACTAAACTGTAAGAACTCCAAAATCCAATAGATTGACTTAAATAATTTTGGTGGGCTTTGTTTTTGGTTTTTAAACTTCTGTTCACTCTATTCTTCTAAACTGGTCTTTTTCTTTCTCATTCTATCAGCTTGCTTCAGTCTTTTCCCCTCCTTGTGGTAACTTTAGCATTTATTTTCCCTAGGCAGAGGAATGTAACTGCTTTCAAAGCAATCTTAGTTATTAGATTATGGACACTGTTCCCACAAAAATATCTCTATATTAAACACTTGGAATTAATCCAGTTGACTAGCCTCAATGTTCATTCATGTACAGATGTACTCAAATACTGACAGGTATATCTATGTTGTTGTTTTGTTTTTAATACAATATGGTCTTTCAACTTTTACTTAAAGTAAATGCTTACCACAACAGAGATAGAGGTTGCTTTTTAAGGTTTTTTGATTGTTTTTCTTCCCCCTCTTGACACACTAATTGTTGTATTGGCTGGTACTGATGTTCTAATTATCTGGACTTTACTATTTTCCCTAGCATTTCCAGCTGCATTAGAACTGCTAACTGCCTTTGTAGGCCTGATTCCTCCAATCATACTGCTTGGAAAAGAAGCCTTCTAACTTAAAGCTAGTTTGAATTTTTACAATCTTCTCTCTAGTACAGTCCATCTAATCCATCACATACTTGCTGTCCAATAAAATGCTTTATAGGTATACAAAATCACACTTTTTTAATTAGTTTTTACTTTGCATGAATGTATATCATCTCCAGCACTTTCAAAAAAATGTATTTTCAAAACAGATTCCCAACTACAAGTGTGGGTTGGATGAGTGCACAGTGAGGTGGAGATCTGGTTGAATGGCAGAGCTCAGTRGGTGGTGATAAATGGGGTTGAGTTGGAGGCCTATGGCCAGTGGTGTCCCCCAGGGTCAGTACTGGGCCCAGTGCTGTTCAACTCGTTCATCAATGACTTGGATGAGGGCACAGAGGGACCCTGAGCAAGTTTGCAGATGATTCCTTGCTGGGTGGAACAGCTGACACTCTGGAGGGCTGTGCTGCCATTCAGAGGGACCTGAACAGGCTAGAGAGTTGGGYAGAGGGAAACCTCATGAAGTTCAATGAGGACAAGTGCAGGATCCTGCCCATGGGGAGGAATAACTAACCCCGGGCATCAGTACAGATTAGGGGTTGACCTGCTGGAGAGCAGCTCTGCAGAGAGGGACTTGGGAGCCCTGGTTGACACCAAGTTAACCATGAGCCAGCAGTGCCCTCATGGMCAAGAAGGCCAATGGGATCCTTGTTGCATTAGGAGGGTGTTGCCAGCAGGTCAAGGGAGGGGATCCTGACCCTCTGCTCAGCTCTGGCGAGGCYGCACCTGGAGTGTGGTTTTGGGYTCCCCAGGACAAGAGGGATGTGGAGCTTCTGGAGAGGGTCCAGGGTAGAGTGACAATGATGACTGAGGGACTGCAGCATCTCTCTTATGAGGAAAGACTAAGCGAGCTGGGCCTGTTTAGCCAGGAGAAAAGAAGCCTGAGAGGAGATCCGATCAATACGTAGAAGTACCTGAGGGGAGAATGTAGGGAGGAGGGGGGGGCAAAYGCTTTTTGGTGGTGCCTAGGACAGGACAARGGGTAATGGGTACAAGTTGAAACACAGGAAGTTCTACCTCCATGTGTSGAAGAACTTTACTGTGAGGGTAATATTATTATTTGAAGCAGCTTGTAGTTTGATGTTGTATCATTCCCTTGGCATTAGTAACATCATAAATTTTGGCATTTAAGAGATCAGAATTTTGATTAGGTTTTTAAATCTTAAATTCATGCTTTTTTAATGCTATCGATATGGCAGCTCTTGAACAGCTACATGTTCATGTTGTGTATCTAGTCTGACACTAACATGTACAAATATAAAGGCCAAATATACAGGCTGCTGTTGATATATTTACGAGGGCAAAAAGGCATGTCGGCCTCAAGTGTAATGATCCCTGAGTTCCTGAGGGTGGCAGCTGAACCTCTAGCTGTCTTAGTGGTTGTCTTTTGTTGTTGTTTTGTTTTGAACAAGCACTTCTTGGAGATTATTTAGTGCAAGTTAAAATAGAACCAAAAGAAACAGTATCTATTCCCTCTTTCAAATAAACTGGTTTAAAAAAAGAGGTACTGCTGAGCATTTACTCTTCTGTATTGCACATCACACATTCTTTACTTAAACTTTCACGTGTCTCAGCAATACTTAGTCTCACAGATGCAATACTTGCAGTAACATTAGGGGTATTACTTGAAAAAACAGTAATACTAAAGCCTTTAGTAATTTTTCAAATTGTAATAAACAGTAGATTCCACCAATCAAGTATGCTGCAATGGAGGAAACAGGGCTATGATTTGGGTAAGCTGCAGTGTACAGAATCAGAGGCAAAATTACCCATAAACAAACAACTATAAAGCACATACCTCTGTTTGCCAGCTTCACATGACTTGTCTGTCTGTACTGAAACTGGCCTGGATAGTATCTCCTGTTGGCTTTTCTTTATTTGGTGGGGGGAGAGGGGAAGGGAAAGATAGGGAAAGTCAGTTATTAACTGGTTAATAAAATATGCAATAGAAGGATTATSCATTTAATAAATCACAAGAATTTAAGTCTACCATTCTGAAGCAAGTGAGCTGTCATGGGGGGAAAAATTCTCAAACATCTAGCTGAAGATCATTGRTATCCTCAAATGTTTACTTCTGTTCTACAACATATACTTGCCTTTTTGTCTGTAAAACTTTTCACAGAACATCATCTGAAATGCTGATACTCTGCCTCCTTTCTCTGAAATGCAGGAATAGCATATGTGCACCAGATGGAACAAATTTTCAGTTTCCATGCTTCAAAAATAGCTCCTTATGCAATACAGCTCTAACTTGGCCACCGATTTGTTGTAGGTACGTTAGAGAACAATTCAGTTGAACACTGAATGTTTAGATAGCTTCTGCAGTAGTAGATTATAGCTAGAAAGCATAACCCAGTACTAAATGCAGTTATCCCATTCAGAATTTTTAAAAACATAGGACTTGTGTGTTTTTTGTTAGMTGTGTATTTGTGCAATCTAGCAGTGTCATGTTATATTTTAAGTGTCCTTTAAGTGTCCTCTGATGCCTTCATTTAAAAAAAAGGGGGGGGGGAGGAGGGGCAAGGAGAAGGGGAGTGTTGCTCCCTTTGCTGGGCTCTAGAAGAAAGAGACTGGCTGTTTCGGGGATGCTTTACCTGCTTTTGCTCAGAGGCCAAGCAGCTAGCTTTAGCGAACCACATCTTCCTCAGGAGAACAATRTTTTCAAAGGATAAAGGATTTAAAAAAGGAGGGGGRAAAAAAAAAATCAAGCACAGACAAAGAGCGTATGAGAATTACAGCTTTTCAGGAGTTTTATCACTTGTCTGTTAAGCCTTACTTAAGGCTTTAAGGGATTGAAACTCTGTGAGGAATATATCTAACATGCATACCACCCTTCTAGTTGATCATTTGATAGATATGATGTCTCTTTCTAGTCTGTATATTAGCCAGACTTCTCTTACAGGAAATTTTTGATAGAAAATTTGATGTGTATCTGGTACACAGACACACCAAAATTAGAGAAACAAAATCCTGACAAACGAGTGTTTTTAACTTAGCAATTATTTTTCATGTATGGTGCTTATTTTTTGTATTTCTTTTATTTTGACCAATGCAAATCCTATTTCACTAGGATGTTATTGCAGCAGTATCTGGCTTTCAAATATCAAAACAGTTTTGGTCTTTTATTTTTTTTTAATAGACATAAAGCCATTTGCAGAGGCTTTCCTTAAACATAATAGACACCTGGAACAGGCTGCCCAGGGAGGTTGTGGAGTCTYCTTCTCTGGAGGTCTTCAAAACCCACCTAGATGCCACCCTGTGCCACATGCTGTAGGTGTGCCTGCTTGAGCAGGAAGGTTGGACTAGATGATCTCTAGAGGTCCCTTCCAACCTTAACTATTCTGTGATTCTGTGACACCTACATAATTTTATGTATAATATGCACAAGCCTTAGTCACTTATATGGACATAACTACCTGTAAAATTACATCAAAACTATTTCTGAGTGTTTTTATTAAAGTTTACAATCTTGAGATGGTGAGGAAGGCTTAGGTTTAATTTGAAAGCAAAATATCTTTACTGACATGATTTAAATGATTTCTTCTGAAACCTGGACCCAATTCATGTGAACCAAGGCCAAGTTATGTAACAGTCTGCATCCCTCACTCACCATTACTTCTTCAGCTTGACGCACCACCTTCTCTGCTTTTGCTTCCAATTCTGCATTCAGTCTCCTGGAAGAGTAAGGATGCTCATCAGGAAGTTTCCAAAATACTTTAAAATTAACAAACTGTGATGTCTATGACGTAGAGCTGAAACTGTCCCTACCCCATCTAAGTGAAGTTTTAATAGTAATTCCTACAAAGGAACACCAAAATACACTTTGGAGTATTAACCAATGTTTCAATTTCCCAGGTTTCTTGGAAATACAACAGTAATAAAACTATTGATTAGTTCAGCCATATATGTAGYAAGCAGTAAGGCTTAGACTGTCATCATGGCAAGCTCTTGTTTAACTTAGACTTGCTCTTGTCTAAAAAAATGTACAGAAATATTGTACAGAAAGTCAAAAGGAATAAAAAGAATGACAGGAAGAAAACAAACCCAAAACAAACAAAAAACCCTTATTAACCTAAATATGGTGACATGAGATTTTTATGTGTTTTTGGCTTGTCTTACGAGTTTGACTAGGTTTGTGTTGATCACACCAGTAGGAAGCAAGTTTACTTTCTTCCAAAATTATTCTTCATTTGGAATTACATCAATATAAAACAACTACATACTTCTAATATGAATAGAGATGTGCATTAAAATAGTAAGMTACTTATCAGTTTGGACTTATTTTTATCTTGGCTTACAGTTAGGGGGTGGGGAAAGCCTTGCAGTCTCTGACAGTCAATAACGCTTCTATTATTTACTGGAAACCAAAACTGATGGATTCTTACCATGATTCATGAAAGCTGACTGAAACTYTGCCTCTTTGTTTAGGTTAAAACAATTGTCCTCTATGAATATAGACATTAAGCTTAGTGGTTTTTTTGCTTTTTCTGGTTTTTTTTT